GATATCTATTTATTGGCATTAGGGAACCGTGTCCTGGACATCCAGGTTGATGACGTCCCCTTAAGGAACTCATAAGGATTATCGTATAAACCCTGCAGGTGGATTTAATTCATACGATAATAAGGTTGAGTGGTACTATTTAAGGAATAAAAGATATTAATTAATTAAAGCAGTCAGAAGCTTTAATAATTAATGGACGTGCGATATCTTAAACACGGAAAATTATATCGAGTCTAATAGAAGCCCTGATTCATTTCGGGATAGGACGGGAGTGCAATATTAATTCTCTAGTGGAATGAATTAATATTTACATGCCAAATTGTGTTCTGGGTTGAACATAAGTATTTGGGCCTGTAAGGAGCCCAAACCCTATACCTTATAAGAGATCCCTAGTCTGGCCCAAGGACCTCTATAAAAGGAGGGAACCTCCCACGTTTTATGCCCTAGCAATTTCGTGAGATACTCCAGCCACCATCGTGGAGAGAGTAACGAGAAGGGTTAGAGAAAGACGTGGGCAGTCCGCTCCTTTCAACCGTTTGGAGGATCGTCGTCCATCCGACGTCCAAACGTGGTCGGGACACAGACTTGAAGATCGCGCAGATCGAGTCGAAGCCTTGAAGAAAGGTATATCTCTGTTCGTCCTTTAGGAGCATGCTTAGGTTTATTCGAAATCATGTATGTACGTGTTTGGTATCCGATATCGATCCGTGGGAAGGACCGCCTCGGCGTGTTCCAGCAGCCGGTCCATTCTGGGTTCTAGTGGCCTCAGTCTGCCCACTAGAGTGTGCACATAGAATCCGACATTCTTATGCTGGCAGATGAGGTAACGGTCATGGTTCATGTGATGGTTATCAGGTTCATGTTTATTACCGGTTTCATGTTCAGATTATATATATGTCAGGATCATGATATTGCAATTATTTTCACTGTTTATTTCAGTATGAGTTCCTACGGAGCACAGTGGTGCTCACGCCCCACAGTATTCATGTTTTTCAGGTCAAAGATTTGGAGTCGAGGAGTGAGGGGGCGTTCGGTTCAGAAGTTTTGTGAAAATGTTTAATCATGTTTTGGCCACGCTATGCTTTCCGCTATCTATTCCAATTTTTGCCAAACTCAGACCTGATTTATAATCGGTATTTATGTTATGTTAAACCATTTTGTTTTCTATAAATAATAGTTTTCAAGACAAGTAATGTTTTACGGTAACACTCCGAATCAGTATTTCGCAAACTAAGTATTTTTATTCAAAGACTTTGCAAAAAAATGCACTCTGATTTTCATGAAATAGCGGGGTGTTACAGAAATAGTCCTTCACGGTTGCCGCATTGAGTGCGCTGTAGTCCATGCAAAACCACCAAGTGTCGTCCTTCTTCTTTGCGAGCAACATTAGCGACGAGAACGGGCTCGTGCTGTGCTGAATGAGCCCAGACTCGAGCATCTCGCCCTTTTGCTGCTCGATCTCCACCTTTTGGAAGTGCGCGTACCGATACGGGTGCACGTGTACTGCTCGTCCTTCCTCGACCAAAGGAATTCGGTGGTCGAACTCCCGATGTGGCGGCAATCCCTTAGGTTCGCCGAGGACTTGGTCGAACTCCTCGAGCAAGTTGCGCACCTCGCGCTCCCTGCGTCTTGCCCCATCTGCTCGACCACGACGACAAATAACTGCCCACCATCTCGCCACACCTTCTCAATATTTTTAAGTCCAACCTCCCTGGTCGATCCTTCGTTCGCTTTCAAGGTGACCAGCCTATCACCGGTCTCGAACTTCATTACGCCCTTCCGGTAATTAGTCGTCACGTCACCAAGCCCTTCGAGCCATTAAACACCAAGCACTACATCCGGCCCTACCAATGGCAAGGCAAGCAGGTCCGTCTTCACCATTACTCCTTGGAATTTAATCGGTACGCCTCGGTACACCTCCAAGCACCGCAAACGCTCACCGTTAGCCACCCGCACTTCATTTGGCTCGACCTGGACGTGAGTAATTTAAGCTTGTTAGATAGCGTCGCATTAATGAAGTTGTGCGACGACCCATTGTCCACGAGCACAGTCACTCGCCGGTCTTTCACCCACGCCAGCAAACGCATCGTCCTCGGCCCCTTGGTGCCTGCCATGGCATGTACAGAGATCTTGGCCTCATCATCGAGCACCTCGACCTCCTCCACTTCCATTTCTTCCGCAAACTGAGTAAACAAACTCAATTAGAAAACTTTTCTTACATCGATGTCACGGGGTGAACTTTTCCTCGCACTTAAAGCACAACCCCTTCTCAAGCCTCCGAGCCATCTCTTCGATCGTCAATCGCTTGGTCTCCGGGACAGGGGGTCGAATGTTGCTCGTTGGTTTGGCCCCTGTATTGAATGTGCTCGAGCTGATCAGCGCCCGGCGCAGCTCTGGGGCACGGAGATCCACCTGTCCCCTTCGCGTCGTGGCCAGGTGCTCATCGCACCACCGAGCGACCTCCATCGCCTTTTGCATGGTGTCCGATTGCTTCAAACGTACCTCCGCATCCAAATCGTACCTAAGTCCTCCAATGAATGCACCGACCAAGGTACTCTCTGTAATATCCCGACCTTTTATCAGTGTAATAATATTTTAGTTCCGATATTATTTTTCGGAATTAATTATTTTCAGTTATTTCAGTAGAAATTACCGGAACATATTTTCGACGTACCGTTTACGTTCGAAATTATATTGGTAATTTGGGATTATGTTTAATTGGATAATTAAACATAATTAAGTGATTAATTTAACGTTAATCACGAGATTAGCTAATTGTTCGGATTTTATTCCAAGTTTGTGCAAATGTCGTACGTACCTATATGTGCTATGTGTATGTGTTGGTAGCATTTTGATCCAACTCATGTGTTAGTATCCGTGCCCTTGCGCCATTGCCGTGCACCTCCATTCATGTGCATTGTTCCCTAATGCCGTGTGTGCATTTCGGTCCAAGATTCCAACCCATGCTAGAAGGCCATGCGTTTTGTTTGGTAGTTGTGGGAGTTTGGTCCAAGAATTGTCCTCTAGTGCCATGTGGGTGTGCGTTTGTATTTTAGTGCCTTTTGTTCAATTTTTGCCGTGCAAATCCTAGTGGGCGGAGTTTCCCATGCCGTGCCCATGTGAGTGCTTGAAACTTGGTCCGAGATTCCTCCCATTGCTCCATAATGCCGTGAGTCTTGCATGGCATTTTGTTTTCTAGTGTGTTGTGTCCGC